CCAACAAGACTAATAGGCCTAAAATCTTCAAGCCCCTCCGAATTGTCCCTCTTTGGAATAAGAGAGAGGAAAGAGTGGTTTGTTTCTATGTCCCATTTCTTACCCTCATAAAATTCCTTAAAAAACAGCAGCAAAACTTCCTTCAGATTTGGCCAAAACTTCTTAAAAAAGCCTAAATTCAGTCAATCAGGACCAGGTGCTTTGTTACTATCCGAATTAGCGATTACACCCCAAATTTCCTCTTCGGAGAAAGGCTTCTCGAGGGCCATACTCTGCTATTCCGAATGCTTTAAAAAATCCAAGTCCAGTTCTTCAACTTCCAATGTATTATCTTGGTTTAACAACCCCTTGAAAAAGTGAACCACCGAATCTTTAATTAGATTTGGATCTGAAATGTCTTCATTATCAACTTTGATGGATTTGATGTTATTTCTCCTCCCTCTACCTCTTGCACACTGATGGAAAAATCTGGTGTTTTTATCCCCATTCAAATTCCACTTCAATCTTGACTTTTGAAACCAAATCAGTTCGTCTTTTTTATACAAGTCCCACAGCTATTTCTTTGCTACCACTAGGTTCTTCATAGACACCAGGGAGAGACCTTGCTGCAAATTAAGTTCCATCACCTGAATTTCTTTTTCCAACCTATTTATTTTCCCAGGAATCTCAAGATAGCCCTTCCCAGACCATTTCTTCACTGCTCCTTGCACTCCTTTTAGTACACTAGAGATTGGTTGCCTATTCTCCACATCACAAAGCTTGACAAGTTCTCCTTCCATCATCTTACAAAACTCATCCTCTTCCAAGACATAATTAAACAATTTGAAAGGTTTAGGGCCCCAATTCCAGCCCCTATTTTCCAGCAAGATGTTGTTATGGTCAGAAACAGACCTTTCAAGGAGTCTTTGAGAGATCATAGGAAACAAAGATAAAAAAATTTGGTCCACTAGGAATCGATCTAGCCGCTCATAAGTTGGGATATCTCTATTGTTGCACCATGTAAATCTGCCTCCAACCATAGGCAAATCCAGAAGATTAGCTTTGCTCACAAAATCTTTGAAAGCAAACATTGTAGCTAAGTTAACTGCACCTCCGATCTTCTCTTCCTGTGACATTACCACATTGAAATCTCCTCCTAGACACATTGGACAGTCTATATTCTCTAAGAATGATAACAGCTCCCCAAAAAATGCCTCCTTTTCTGAATCAACACTAGGACCATACACATTTATGAACCAACATGCTCCTTGTGCCTCATCAATAATACCTTTAACTGCTACATATCTCCTATGGATGACCTCCTCTATAACCTTACACTCTACCTCATTCCACAAAGTAATCAAACCTCCAGCAGAACCTTCAGATGCTGAAATTACCGATGCTGTCAACAAATTACCTCCCATTTTCCTCACAACCGACGGGGTCAACACTTCCTTTTTCGATTCCTGAATGAAAAAAATTAAAGGCTTTATCTTATCAACAATCCTCCTTACAGCTCTAGCCTTTATCCTCCTACCCAAACCTCTAACATTCCAAGTCAATAAATTCCAACTAATCATCTATATCCTATCAAAACCTTGTAAACCATCACCCCTTAATTTCCCCCATATACTCCTATCTCCTTAATCAGTGGAATTGCTCTGTTCATAAAAGCTTTTTTTCCCCCTCTAAATGTGACCCCCAACAATTTACTAACATTCCAGCTCTTTAATGCCTCTGTCCCCTCCTCCTCCTCATTGCTATTTACATAATCCAAACTTGTACCTAAACAGCTCCTAGTTCCCCTTGACCTAGATCTTGAATAAACATGTTTGTATATGCCCCTTCTCAATTTACTCCCATATACAGTCCCCGAATTCCTTTTGGAGGTCAGGGAAACAGATCCCACTTGCACAGAAGTTTGCCCTTGCATAACATTATTTTCTGTTATTTCGAAACAGTCACCCTTGCTTAGACTCTCCTCCTCTTGCTCCAGCCCACTCCTGAAATTTAAAACCGGGCCCCTAATAGGCCCATTTTCGCAGTCAACTATATCATGCTCTCTAAGGACATCTCCCTAACTTTTCTCATTTTCTCTCCCCTCATTAATTTCTTCTGACTTATCCCGCTGTGTAGAGACATCACCTACTTCTGTCACTTCTTTGCACAAGTCAATTGTATTTTCCCTTCCTATGTTTAAATTCAAACCTCCCTCGGTAGTTGTGTTTTTGCCATGTTGAGAACTTCTAACCCCATACTCAATCCTATTTTTGGTTACTGACAACTCCTGAACTGCCTCCTGCTCTTCTTGCCGAATCTGTACGTCTTCATTGTTCCATTCCGAAGAGCTTTCCTCCCATGGATTCTCTGCAGCTTCTTCTATCTCCATATCTGATAATTCTGGGAAAAATTCCTCAGCACCATCAACTTTAATTTTAATCATGAATTTTCTCCCATACGTAGTGATGATGGTTTGATTTGGAATGTCAAAAGGACTCTCAACCCTTAGTAGCAACTGCGCCACTCTGCAATCCACTCTATGCGCAGTTTGATCTTGGATTTTTACAACCTTACCCCATTTGGATGCTAAGCTAGTAAAGAACGGGACCGACCAACAATTTAATGGGACACCAATTATTGAAATCGCACAATAAGCTAATGGGTACCCCCCTCCTCTACCACCGGCTCCAATATATCAAACCAGAACGTTAAAGCTTCCCATTTTTCTTCCATTGCAATTCTTCTCTCATCAACCGACTGAAACACCACCAGACACGCATTCTTCGCACATCCCCACCTTATCACCTTAACTTTGAAGCCCTCATTTCGTAAGGCTTTCTGCACAAATTCTACTTCAAAAATATCTTTGCAAATGCCAGTAAGTGAAGATTTCAACCATAATCTCTCTTCCATCGGAATAAAGACATCCAAAGATTTCTTCTCTTCCTGTGTATTCTTTTGACTGTTTACTTGATGACCTCCTGAAACTTTTTTCACCCCAACCACAATGTCTCTATAAGTTTTTCCATCATTGAACTTGTTCATTCGTTCCATTTTCTCATTCACTTGCGCTGAAGAAGCCATTCGACTGCCCTTCCACTCTCCTTTTTCTACCCTTTTGAAGCCCTCCTCAGTATTCCCTTGACGATTCTTCATCCCAGCTAACTTGTCATATTTAGCTACTGAAACAGAAATTATCTTCCCATCAATCCTGACATTGTTCATTTTCTCCACCGCATTGCACAGATCCTTCTTGCTAGAAAAATGGACAAATGCAAACGTACAATCCTTGTATTTTGGTCTGTTATTAATAAAAGGAATAAACACCCTAATAACTTTTCCATGATAACTAAAAAGTTCCCCTAATGTTCTTCTGCTCACTCTTCTACTAAGATAATCAACGAACGCAGACCAAGTACCCCCTCCATGAACCTCTCCGTCTTTGCCTTCAGAATATCTGCTCTCTCGCTCTCTCCATCGCTTAATATATGGCAATACACTTGGGCACACCAAAGATTTTAGACTAGGTTTCACTAGAATCTAGATATGAACTCAATCCAACTGATCCTAACACGGATGCTATATGACCCGTTCCATGCTTAGAAGGCTTATTGCAAGAGGACTATTGAATTGTAATGTCACTCTCTTTGGATGGTTGCTTCTAGAATTTAGAAAGCTATTTGAATCCTTTGGCAAGCCAGAAGTTGCACGCACAAGAAGTGGATCGGGCTAATTCATACTCGACTTCATCAGATCAGGCAACTTCACATTGTTTGACTCACACCAGTTTGTAATTAGTGCCTTAACAGTGTAATTAGGTATAAGATTGGGATGAGTCAACTTCTGTCGTGTCTTGGAGCACATAGTGAGCCCAAGATCAATCCATTTTTTGATGAAAGCATGCTCATAGGTTTTTCTTGATGCCACAATCACTGGCTCAGTCATTAGCTCTAGCGAAATGGGGCAGATGAAATCAGAAGGTATGAGAACAGGGCTGCTGGTCTGAGACTGTTTTACTAAGACAATGCGATGATGCATGCGAGTTACAAGAGTAATAAGTTTATCAATATACTAAACTTCTGCAGTTTTATCAGCTTGATCAGCATACTCCTTCAACTTTTCAAGGGCCACAGCCTCTATCAGAATCTCCTGATTTGAATTCAAGCTCAATCTCTCAGCAATTATCACTAATATTTCTGCCCTTGGTCCAGAGTTATCCAATCGATCCTTTATGGCTTCCTCAATGATGGACGATGTTTGTTCATCTCCCACTTGCTTAATTTTCTTCAAGTAGTGTTGTGATCAATCATACCAATTGACATCCTGAAATGGGGATACCTCTTCAAATCAAATCAAAATGATATCTATATTTTCTCACAGCCTAAAACTTTATAGGTTAGATGTCATTGACCCTCCAAAACATGACTTCTCATCTCAATAAATTCCTTTGGTTGCCATAGAAAGAATATGATAGTTATACTTCAAAAAACAATTACAGGCTTTCATTAACTTCAATGATTTTGGGTAGTAAATTACCTCAAGGGAAGATGAACTCAATTCATAAGGAAGATGTTGATTGGAAGACTTAAAATGGAATATGTCCAAGCTAGAATTCTGAATCTTTGATATTAATGACTCAACTTGCAGAAACTAGACATAAAATGGAAGAGAATGTGGTTACCCAAGCCTCCAAGGTATTGGCTAATAATTGCTTATAAGAAAATTCAATTCTTCTATGATATTGTTATCTAGGATACACACATCAGAGCAATTCTGTCATGATCATGAGATATTCATTAATCGGAGAAGACGGAGGAGAAGACGGAGGAGAATTAGGGAAATTGGAAATAGGGTTAGGGATTTCAATTAAGGGGAGGGGTGTTGCCAGCAGTGAAGGAAGTCACGCCAACAGCACCAACAACACCTGCAAGGGAATCTAACTGTTTGGACAACTGTATTGCCAGCTGGTAAATGGGTTGTTACAATGTAAATATATAAGCAATGTACTAGGTAAGGCTTACGGTATGATTGGAATGAATGAAAACTCAGTCTTCTTGAAATCCCTTTCTCCTCTCCTTTAATCTCCCTTCCTCTATTTCCTTCGATTGTTCTTCTTCTTTCGTAGGGTCATAACAATTGGTATACAGAGCCACAACTCCTGACAAAGCAATGGCTTCATACTCTATTTTTTCTACGATTCAACAACAGATTGAAGACTTATCAAAGTTAGTGAAGCAAGATCAGTACTTGGAGACAAGGATTGCAATGAATAAGGATTGTTTGGAGCACATTTTACAGTTGTTGACTAGTAAAGAGTGTGAGCAAAAACATGATGATTCTCAGGTGTTCGATAAATTGTCAACATCAAAGATTCAAATTACTGCTTCTTCTCGTGGATCTGGAAAACATTCTCAGCTCATACCATCAACTCCAAGATGGGCTGTTGTAAATGGTTCCGGTGTCATTTTAAGTGTATGTGATGAAGAGGTTGCACACTATGAGACTGCTAGTTTAACGGCTGCTGCAGTCCCTGCTCTTCTAGTTCCTCCTCCAACAACAGCCTTGGATGAGCATCCAGTTGCTGGGTTACCAGCTCTTGAACCATATGCACGTTTGTTTCATCGGTATTATTATATTGCAATTCCACGTGCCACACAAAGACTTCTTCTTGGACTTTTAGAAGCACCACCATGGTGGGCTACGGATGCAATTGATGCTATCGTGCAGTTTCTGGAACTCCTTCAGGCTGCTGAAGATTATACAACTGGTATAAGGCTTCCTCGAAATTGGATGCTTTTGCATTTTTTGCGGGCAATTGGGACTGAAATGTCTATAAGAGCGGGTATTGCTGCTGTTACTGTTGCAGTTTTATTTTTTTGCATACTTTCACAGCCTGCATTGTTTTTTCCTCCAACAAGACAAGTTGACGGAGTAGAAGTTCAACATGATCCTTCTGGTGGTTCTATATCGTGCTTTAGAAAGTAGATTGAGGTTCCTGCGGCTGAAGCAACTATATATACTCTATTAACAGAAGCTTTTACCGTCCCAAAGCTTGTTTTAGCAGGGCAGTTGCCTGCCCAACAAAATGCTACTATTAATCTTGATCCAAGCATGAGGAACATACAAGAGCTGAAGTCATGGCTTGAGTTCCACAATGTTGTTGCTGCCGGTTTAAGACTGGCCCCACTTCAGGGAAAAGTGTCTAGAACATGGATAATATATAACAAGCCCAAGGAACCTAATGCAGTTCATGCTGGACTTCTCCTTGCTCTTGGATTACACGGGTTTCTGCGTGTTTTACGGATTACGGACATATACCAATACTTTTCACAGGAACATGAAAGCACAACTGCAGGTTTAATGTTGGGTCTGGCAACTTCTTATAGAGGGACTATGCAACCTTCAATAGCAAAGTGTCTTTATTTGCATATACCTGCTCACCATCCATCTTCCTATCCAGAGTTAGAGTTACCAACACTGCTGCAGACTGCAGCACTAATGTCACTCGGGCTTCTTTTTGAAGGATCAACACACCCTCAAACAATGCAAAGATTACTGAGTGAAATAGGCCGAAGAAGTGGAGGCGACAATGTCCTTGAAAGGGAGGGTTATGTTGTTTCTGCAGGCTTTTCACTGGGTCTTGTTGCATTAGGCCGAGGAGAAGACACATTGGGATTCATGGATACACTGGTTGATTGGCTATTTCATTATATTGGTGGAAAGGAAATTCGAAATGAAAGGTTTCCCCTGCTTTCTACATCAATGGATGAACATAACCGGGGCACTGGGCAGATGATGGATGGGACCTCTGTCAATGTTGATGTCACTGCACCTGGGGCTATGATAGCTCTTGCTTTAATGTTTTTGAAGAGTGAATCAGAGGTGATTGTCTCTAGGCTCACAATCCCCCAAACACATTTCGATTTGCAATACGTAAGACCTGATTTTATAATGTTTCGTGTCATTGCTCGGAATTTGATCATGTGGGGCAAGATTCATCCCACTAAAGATTGGATTCAGTCCCAGATTCCTGAAATTGTAGAAAATGGTGTCAATAGCCTTGGAGATGATACTATGGATATTGATGAAATGGATGCAGAAACTACTGTACAAGCATATGTCAATATAGTAGCCGGGGCATGTATTTCTCTTGGGTTGAGATTTGCTGGCACAAAGGATGAAAATGCACAGGAGTTGCTTTATGAATATGCTGTCTACTTCCTGAATGAGATCAAGCTTGTTTCCACTACAAATAGGAATACCTTTTCCAAGGGTTTATCTCAGTATGTTGACCGAAGCACATTGGAGATGTGCCTTTATCTTATTGTTCTATCATTGTCTGTGGTTATGGCTGGTTCTGGACATTTACAGACCTTCCGGCTTCTAAGGCTTCTCCGCAACCGAAGCTCTGTAGACGGTTATGCCAACTATGGTATCCAGATGGTGGTGAGCTTAGCAATTGGTTTCTTGTTTCTTGGTGGAGGAACGAGGATATTTTCTACCAGCAACAGTTCCATTGCAGCATTGCTTATCACTCTCTATCCACAGTTGCCTACAGGACCCAATGACAACCGTTGCAACCTTAAGGCATTCTGACATTTGTATGTCCTTGCAATGGATGCTTGTTGGCTTCAAACTATTGATATCGACACTGGCCTCCCCGTTTATGCTCCTCTTGAAGTCACAATCAGGGAAATTGAGTATTATTCTAAAATAAGTTTTTGTGAGATTACTCATTGCATTCTGCCCGAGTGTTCTATTTTGAAGACAATTCGTGTTTGTAGCCCTCGATATTGGCCTCAAGTGATTGAGCTTGTTCCTGAAAATGAGCCTTGGTGGAGTTTGGGTGGCAGGAATGACCCATTTCACTCTGGTATTCTCCATGTCAAACGAAAGGTTGAATCGTGTTCATATGTGGATGATCCCCTAGGGTGTCAATCACTGCTTTCACGAGCAATGCACAAGGTCTTTGATTCGACAAGTCTAAGAGCAGTCAATGATGGACCTACTACTGTTACTGTTGATCAACTTGTCAGCACTTTCTCTTCTGATCCAAGTTTAATTGTTTTTGCACAACTCTTCTGTGACCTTTCCTGGAATAGCAAATCTGATGTTGACTTCCAGGTGTTTTGCTTACAAGTATTATTTGAGTGTATAAGCAAGGATAGACCAGCTCTTCTGCGGGTCTATTTATCCTTGTACACCATTATTGGCACATTGGCAGAGCAAGTCTCCAGCAGTGATATTCTTGTTGGCGACTCATTATCTCTCTCTAGTTTAAAGTTTGCACTGTCCTATAATGAGGTTGTCTTGACTGGAAGGTTGGCCACTTCAAATGGCAGCATTGTTCAGTCTGTGTTTCTAGGATCATTTCAAGGGAAGGGGAATGTCATAACTATAGGGGAAGTCAACAAAGAAAGCAGCAAGAATCAGTTACTTAAACAATAACTTTTGAATCTGAAAATTTTTCAGAAGACTCAAGCAAGGTTGAAATTTTTTGCTAAAATAAAATTGACAGACAGGGGTATAAAGGCAGAGGACAAAATTTACCTGAAGTTTCGATCTTACCATCAAACCTCACTTGCTCTTCGAAAAGGATTAAGGCTAGCAGCAAGGGTCTATGGTACCTATATTGTTTTACAACATGGGGTAAACTATATTGAGCTTAAGGCACAATTATTAGGATTTGATCCTTGGGGACAAGGATCCTTTCATGGAAGGGGTATTGTCATGATCATGAGAGATTCATTAATCGGAGAAGACGGAGGAGAATTAGGGAAATTGGAAATAGGGTTAGGGATTTCAATTAAGGGGAGGGGTGTTGCCAGCAGTGAAGGAAGTCACGCCAACAGCACCAACAACACCTGCAAGGGAATCTAACTGTTTGGACAGCTGTATTGCCAGCTGGTAAATGGGTTGTTACAATGTAAATATATAAGCAATGTACTAGGTAAGGCTTACGGTATGATTGGAATGAATGAAAACTCAGTCTTCTTGAAATCCCTTTCTCCTCTCCTTTAATCTCCCTTCCTCTATTTCCTTCGATTGTTCTTCTTCTTTCGTAGGGTCATAACAAATTCTCACCTGAATATGATCAAACATTAACGAATCAGGAAATAGGGCACAAACTTATCCCGAATGCTACAGTTTTTAATAATTACTATAATGAGAAACATGATGAAATTATGTCTGTCCAAATGGGCAGAACATACGTCTGATTAGTTATTGTACAACAATAATCAATAACAAGCATCACGAAAGGAAATACTAATGCTGCCAAGAGTAACTGATCAAAGCTTCATCATATTGGGAGCATTCCAATGCCAAAAATGTTAGTTTAGGTGTTTTTCTTAGCTACAACTACAATAAAATTGCAAAATAAAGTAGCAAACTAAAAATATAATTGGTACTTACAAAGTAAATTTTACTCAAACGGGGTTGCCAGCTTTCAATTTGCTCTCGCAGTTCTTCTACAGAGAGGCTCAATTCTTCAAATGCCTTGGTAAGCACTTCATCAAAAGTAATTTTAGAATCAAAGATTTCTTCAAGAATTATGGGCTTCAGCAACTTTAGTATCTCTTCTGTTCTCCGGTAGAACTTCTGAACTGGTTCTGAGTTGATGTTCTCAAGAGATGACAAATTGAAAAATAAATAAGTGTTTCTAAGAAGGGTTTCTAACAAAGATATCCCTGTATGATCTGTTTCAAAAAATATATATCAAGGAAGACCACGAGTGAGAAAGAGCAGTAGCGGGAGGAAAACTGAAATAATTATAGGTAACTACCATGCACAACATGAAACATATGAAACTACGATTTATTTGTCCAAAAGATATAATCAATTCATCGGGATTTAGTGCTCTTTCAGCATTAGTCAACACATTCAGAAATTGCAAGTAAATGATAGTGGATGAAATAAGAAACACCTCGATGATGATCTTTCAGCAATTTTTATGGGTCAGTGCTCTTTACAGTGGCAGCTTTGATTCTCTAAGGGGTTAAACAAGAACCAAAATGATATAACAGAATTAAAACTGAAATAAACTCAATAGTAAACAGGCATTCCATAATTTAAAAAAATGAAAAAGTAAACTGAGAGAAAAAGAAAAAACAGTACTTGAATGCAACTTTGTATTCAAGAATTTTGGGTGTTTTCCTTTTTCTTTTTATGTTCTCTTGATCTGAGTAAAAGGAAAACAAAATAAATAAATAAAACCCAGATTTCACCAGTTTGGTCCTGGCTCTTAAGGCTTTCTCCCCAAGTAATCTTCTTTTTCAAAAAGAAAAACTAGTTTTGAGTATTAAATATTGACGAGTTTTAGTCAAATTAATTATTTTAGTGTTTTGCTAAGGAGGTTGCTTAGTCGGAGAGTGGGACATTCTCGGAGTTCAATTAATCTTCTTTTATTTTCGTAAGCATGCGACAACTTTTTTTTTAGAAAAAAAAAAACACCTACAAATTTTAATCCATATGAAAAAAAAATCTCTATTAAATTTAAATTAATTAAAATAAAAAAAAACTACAACAAATTTTGATTAAATCAGAAAATTTTCAAATTAATCAAGCTTTGTTTGATTTAATTAATAATATCAAAAAACATAAATTCAGTAACAATTAAAAAAATTTAGTTAATTCAATTTTAACTAATTTAATTCCATTGAAGATCGGATTAAATGTTTAAACCAACCCTACAAATAAATTCAAGTTATTAAAAGAGCTAAATTCAACCAAATCAATCGGTGACAAGTCAAATCAAACTTTTCTTATTATTTTTCAATTTGAATTCGAAAATCTTAATTCCATCTAGAACATTAATAATCAATCGTGAAATCAAGCAGTGGGGTTCAATTAGCTTAACCGAAGAGAGGTGGAACCAATTTTCTTTCATCTCGAATCAAACTCAAATCAAGTTTGAGCACAACTCGACTCAAGTAACCCCATTATTGTATTGATCACTAAATAAGGGAAAAAGAAGTTGAAAACTCGAGACTAAAAGAAAGTAAAACCAGCATATCAATCGGATTACATGTTTGTTCGAAGTCGGTTCATATATAGCTAGCTTGAACCAAATTTGAGCTGCACTATGGGGGAAATTACATAGTTTTGGATCCTTCAGATGTTTTCAAAATAATGTTATTGCTAAAGTTTATAATCCATACATTCTTTAACCAAAACATGGAACCTACAGGCTACAAGCATGTTGTTTGAAACAGTACTCCAGAAAAAAGTATGCTTACTCAACTGAACTTTGTACTTAAAAGTCCCTATATAATTATGCATACGCAGAAAACATATGCTTTTAATTGGATAAATTCATCTGTGAAAACAGACTTCGATTGCTCCTAAATCAATTGGCTGATCTCATGGCTTGACAAGGGTGAGATAGATCACTCAATTCCTTGAGTCTGTTTTGGTGGTAACAAGCAGCGCCAAGCAGATGACATAAAACCTCGAGCAACAAGGTAGATTATAAAAGCAATATATGTGCCGCTAAACGCAAACAGTACACTTGTGAACATTACACCAGTGACTTCTTCAGAGAAAAAGTCGAGTAGAAGATACCCGTTGATCACTATCACCAGCACAGCCACGAGCCATGCAACTGTCTGCAATGGACACAGACAAAGTTATGTAACTGCATAATCGAAAACAGTGGCATAATATATATGATGGAAGTGAAAGTCGGGCATCAATAGATGAGCTGTAATAAGAATCCATATACCACAAGTTAAAATACCCACTAATCCACATAGCTTCAACATTGGTACCACCATAATTTCACTGAATTTCCTATCACAGTAACCCTCATTCCTCCAGCAAGACAGAAGAGACAGAACAAAAGCTCTTCTAAATCTTAGACATGTACACATGGGAAGCTCGAGAATAGGGACAATGAACCGGCCAATAGACAAAAGAATTATTTTAGACAACAAAAGTTGTATGTATTCCTTTGCCAAAAAAGAGTTTAGGATGTTCTAGCTGCTATCATGTTGCCACACCATTATCAGTGAATTGATCACATTTTTCTCAATTGAAAAGCAATGAGCTGTTCCGGAATAAGGGCTAATTACGACCTCTAGATCAGAAAGAAAAACAGCCTCTTATCAAAATTAACCAATAAAATAGTGATGCAAGTACAAAGACAAAATCACTTAAGGCTGCATTTATACAAATGAATTCAAATCAAACTAGTTCACTGTAAAAAAAAATAGAATGTCATTCTTCATAATTAAGTCTCATCACCGGCTAGTCAAGTACACTAGAACTCCTGTAGGCAAGAAAGTTAATATATCGGCAAGGCACAAAATAAGAGCATTAGCAGCATACCTTGAGCACAGAGCCAATTTTGAAGGAACCCATGATTTGCTCCTTAGATACCAAACAAAGAAGTGGGATAAGAGCAAAGGGGATTTGAATAGATTGAAGCACATTAAGCCATTCATTTAATTCATCTAAAGCTGATTCAGAAGTATCGAAAATAAGAGCAACTATCATAGTAGGAACAATTGCAAAGCTCCTAGTGATCAACGCTCTTAGCCATTTTTTCAACCTCAAGTTCAAGAAACCTCCCATGATGAACTGCCCCGCATAAGTGCCAGTAATAGTGCTACTTTGTCCAGCTGCTAACAGCCCGATAGCCCAGATATATAAAATCGGGAATAACCCACCTCCAAATTTCTCTTGAAGATACTGCCCTGCATTCACGAGTCCAATACTATCGGCTACTTCTGTGCCATAAAATGCCTTGGCAAAAACAGTTGTGACAAACAGATTGATTATAAAGGAAATCAAAAGCGCGGCAGCAGACTCTATCGAGTAATAATTGAGAGCTTCTTGCACTCGGCCTTTCTTGCTGTGATCGATTTCCCGTGATTGCACGAGAGCAGAGTGCAAGAATACATTGTGAGGCATAATAATGCAGCCCACGACTCCCACGGCTTGTTTGATGGTTTTGGAGCTAAGTTTTGGAATCAAAACACCTGCAAAAACCAAACCATTTAATTATCACTCAACTACAATATGGTACGAAAATGAAACTTATCAACCTATGGAGCATCAAAGAAATTGCTACTGCCAACAATGGAAAGGAGTGCCTCACCAAGAAGAAGTTCAGTGCCACTGGGTTTTGTTTGACCAAACATCCAAGCAAATGAGACTGCCATTGTAGCAATGAGGACAGCAAAAAATGCTTCCAGCTTCCTCACTCCATAGTTTTCAAGAAACAAGAAGATAAAACTGGGACAATGCAGAGAAAGGAAAGTGGTTATAATGCACCAAGTTAATGTTGATGTACTAGCCAGCTAATTCGGAAATGTAAGGAAATAAATTATAACATTAAAAAAAAGCCTCACTTTCCTTCTTTGCTTAGACAAGATTGAGTTTTATATTAACTAAAAAAGCTCGAAAATCTTCAAATCCCACAAAAATACTAATAAATTTTTGAAAGAAGAAAACAATTCATCAAAATAAAAAAAAAACACTGACCAATCACAAGCTGTAATAACAACACCAGCCCACAAAGGCAAAGCACCATTACTCAAAATCTTAATAGCAATAGCACTTCCAATAACTTCCTGTATATCAGCTCCAATTAAAGCCAACTCCGCCATTACCCACAAAACCATCCTAGCCCAAGTCGGATACTCTTCTCTACACAGCTCAGCTAAGTGTCTCCCCGTCGCCACACCAAGCCTAGCCGACAACAGCTGAACCAACAACCCAATAGCCGTAGCCCACATCAGCAGCCACAGCAAAGAGTAACCGGCTATAGCTCCGGCTTGAAGATCCCCTTCTAAATTCCCAGGATCCAAAAAAGCAATCGACATCAAAAAACCGGGTCCGGTGAAAAGCCAAAGCTTTTTCCAGGAAAAAGGCGGGACACCCAGTGAGCCTTCATTCCCCGTTTCATCGACTCCGACGATGTGGACTTTTTCGCCTGACTCGTACGCCACATCCTGGTCCGAATCCTGGTCGGATAATAACGGAAGCCGGTTGTCTTCTGGTGGCATATTCCGGTGTGCCGTCCTCCGAGGAGGATTGCTTTTTCGTTGGGATTTAGTTTTAGCTACGTAAAATAAGGAAAGGAAGCTTGGGTTGAAGCAAAAGAAAAGCAATGAAAACTACTCGTATTTCCCACTCTCTTTGCTCAATGTTACTGACTGTTTTTTTTGTTTTTTTTTTCATTTCCATATTTTTCTATTAGTAATTTATAGTAAAAGTTCAATCTCTTCGTCACGTGACGATCTTATTCCATGAGGGATTTATTTTGATTATTATATTTTACGTTTTATTATATAAATTATTAAATTTTAATTAAATTAAAAAATTTAATTAGTTATTCTAGTACACTTTGAAGTTTCAATCATTAGATATAAGATTATTATATAAACTGATATATGGTTTGATAACATTTTGAATCGGTATCTTAATTTTTTTTTTCTCAAATTGGAATCTAACTTGAAAACATTTTTATATTGATATTCTAATTTTAAAAAAAAAATTATATTAATATAAGATAATATGATATTTTAACAATCAGTTAAATTCTAACACATGACATTTGATAATTTATATAGTTAAAATATATTTGAATTTAAACTCATAATAATTTTGGATATGACGTATACACAATAAAACTTAAACTTATAATAAAAATGAATTAAAAAGTCACAAATGTATTTATGTACGAATCAAATTATCTCAATAGTTAAAGAGATAGTTGTTATCACTAATGGTATTAGATTTGAGTACTATAGATTATACGGTTATTTGAATTATCATTGACAAATAATTGATATTTTAGAACATATGCTACCTTGTAATCACTTTAAATTAATAAAATAAATATGATATTTATGTATAATAAAACTCAAAAACCCCCAAAATTTTGCCAAATTTCGCTTTAACGCCTATAAGTTTTTCTAACTTTTATTTTAATCTCTATTTTAATATGATTAAACTCTAATCTTATAACCACATACTTTTTTATTTTTTATTTACTTATCAAAACAAAAGATTTTTAGGATGCACTGATAATGATATGATAACAACACTATTTATTAGTCATTTTCTTCTAATGAAATATCAGTCACTGTGTACTATTTTTATTTGTATTTTTTTTTTCAAAATTAGCCGATTTCAAATATTATTCGAGTCGAATATTATTCTCATCATAAAAAGCGATAATCGGTCAATTCATAAAGTTATTCCAATAATATAATAACCACCAAATTAAACTCCAAAATTATATTATAAGCATAAATATATTAGTAAATGTATAAAATATTATAGTATATATATCAAGAAATACCGATTCATGTTTATCACATTTCCTCTGGAACCCCACTGCTAAGATTTGGGTATCAAATGAGGCGAAACGACGTGGCATTAATAAATTATAAAGGGATGGCGGGTTGCACGGGCGGAGAGAGGAAAGCGCGACGAATGACGAGCGGAGATGTTGCCAAGTATGTGGCGACGACACGCAAGCGTACGTCTGGCCGTGGATTGCTTGTGGTAGCAGGAGTTGTTGTCACCTTCATTGGCACCGTATTTTATTTCCATTTCTCCGCCAACCTTTTTCAATATTATTTTTTAGTTATAAATTATTGAATTAAAAATTATAACTATTTATTTTTACTAAACTATTATGTATTGATATGAGAAGGGATTTAAATTTTGAATCCATAAATGCGTCGACCAAGGTAAATGTCTAATTGACGGTATAAATAAAATGGTAGGTGGTAAGTTTTGGTCCGTTCATCAAGGTCCCATTTGTCACGTCCGATGAGATGGATTGAAAGATATACAGAAGAAACGTTCACTCAAGCACCATTCATTTTGTCGAATTTTAAGACAACACGTTTTTATAACGAATAACATCAATCTTATTTTAAATCTTGAGTTTTTAATATTTTATGAAATTATTTATCTAATTTCAGACCGAACGTGACTACCTTAAACAAGATCATTTGGTGAGAAAAAGATGGTTAGTTACTTGAATTATTGGAAATCCCGAAACAGCACTTGTGGTTGTTGTGAAGTTGTGTTAAGATTCCTATTATGAAAGATCAAAGGGGAGGGTTTTCAAGATATTTTACGGGAAATGTCGACATAGATTTTCGTCGCACATGCAAGTATGTCGACATTTTCCCAAAGATTCCTACAAAAATTAAAAGATAAAAAGATTTGTGTTGTATGACCTTTTAGTAAATTGCTTGCAGGTCCACTGACCAACTACGTAATAAACTAATCATAATATCAATATTTTTAAATTTACTCCAAATAAATTACAAGCAAATTCTTTTTAATAAATATCGCAGGTTAGACATTGGTTTGTCTTGGGTCGCTACTAGTCGGTGGTGTTTCAACTTGAAATTTAATATATAAAATATTTGTTTTAATAATCTTTATTTGGGATCATAAAAATATAAAATATTTAATCAACTATTTATGAACAGCTGATATGTTTATGTTCATTTATAGATTTGTCTACTAATTTATTTATTTAAATTTTATATTTTTATATAAACGTTAATAAAAAATTAATTATGTTTATTTTAGTTATTTATGATATAATTATTATTACTAATGTTTTATTATTTTATATTTAGAAAATTGGAAAAATAAGAATTTGTTTACATTTTATTTATTTAATATTCATGAATAAAAATTATTTATGAATATATTCTTAAATGAACTTAATTAGGGATGTGTATGAGTTGGATTAGATCGGATTTTCGACCAATCCGACCCTACTCCAAAATATACACTTTTCATCTTAAACCTAACTTGGGTTTTGGGAGACTTTATCCGATCCAAAATTTGATCCGTCTTTTGAGGTAAAACTCAAACTTTATCCTACCTTACCTAAAACAAATATATTTATAAAAAAATATTAATTTTATTTGATAAAATAAGGATCTAATTGAAAAAATAATACATAGAAGAGTTTATTATAATTATCATTAAATATATAAGATATAATTATTTTATTTTTGAATCATGTTAGATTAAATATTTTTTACATTAAACTCAAACCCGAATCCAAACTCGACAAAAACTCATCTTCTAAAAAAGCGACTCAAGTTAACCTAAACCTGAATTTTTTTGAAAAGGTCTTATCCAATAAAACTGTATCGGATTAGGATTAGTCAAGTTTAGGTACTGTGTCCATTCTTAAACATAATTGATGACATAGGTTATTATTTTAGGGGTTGAATAGTCATGTCGTAAAAGTAAAGATAATAAATGAACTTAATTAATTAAATTTAAGTTATAATGATTAAATTAGATGTGATTTTACTGGAACTTAATTTATTTTTAGTTTTTCTATGAGACCTTTTATTATCAAGTCTTAATAAAATGAACAGTAATATATTGTGGAGCAGCATTGCTAAATACCGAGGTGTATCGAGGGTAAAAGCATTTCTATGGCTATTGGCTGGTGAGAGACTCCTCACTAATTGTGAACGTGTGAGGCGACATATGAGTAACTACTCAAAATGCGGTGTATGTGACTCAAGCGATGAAACCGCCGATCATCTCTTTCGTCTATGTTCCACAGCAATGGAAACATGGAAGAGATTGATTCGTCCCGACGAGATGTCTGAGTTCTTAACAATGAATATAAGAACATGGTTACTAGTTAATCTCACAAAACCTGGATACTTTGCTATTGAAGATCAAGAATGTGACCTGCTGTTTGGAGCAGTTGTTTAGAACATATGGAACCACAGAAACCAATGTATATTCGACATTGAGAAACTGGGATCTACCTCCATCCTCGAACAAAATAAGAGACTCCAAACCGAGAGTGGCAAAACTATGTCAGCCAGAGCAAATGCAAACAATTATAGGATGTTGAGGAGACCGGGATACTCTAAATGGGAGGCCTATCCAGAAGAATGGCTAAAGATAAACACAGATGGAACACAAAACACCTAAGTTTATGCGACATGTGGGGGAGCAATTCGGAATAGCCGCGGAGAATAGATATCAGGCTTTGCTAGAGCTATCGAAATATGTTTAGTACTTGAAGTGGAATTATAGGGGGTTTTGGGAGGCTTAAAACATGCATGGAATATGGGAACGCATCGCGTCATACTCGAAGTTGATAATAATCAAATCTTCCGGAATTTAAACCAAGTTGTGCCGAAACTAGTTTCACCAACTATTTTACAGCATATCCAGGAGTTGCTAAACAGACAATGACTAGTCTCATTTTCTTTGGTTGATCAAACAAAAAATAGAGTGGTTGATTTTATAACGAAGATAGCCCACATTGATGATTTTGTGGGTCAAAGTTTCTCAACACCCCCGATGACTGTAGAGCCAATACTTAGTAAAAAATGTTTAAGAGTCCATAGCTAGAATGTTTTATGTCCTTATTTCACCAAAAAGTAGTAGGTTAAGTTTTCTTGTTCAAAAAATAAAATATACAACAAATCTTGAGTTAGATACAATTTTACATGATTTAGTTTGACTTATTTCTTACTAAAACTTACCCAATAAGAGTTGTCGTTAGAAAAATATTATATTAAGGGTGCGTTTGGTTTACAGAATGTAAGATTACCAGTGAGAATGTAAGATTACCAGGGAATAGAATTACTGGGAATATTATATTTTGTGTTTGGTTGGCTTAGCAGGAATGTAAGATTATCGTGTTTGGTTAAAGGAATAAAAGATTATTAGAATGTATATTTAACCAAATTGTCCTTATTATATATTTGTATAATATTACAAGTTGGAAAATATTTATATATTTTCTTTAAAAATTTAAATTCATAATATTTATATATATATTTTTACAAAATTAAAAATATAAAAAGGTTTAATGAAATGGTAAAATTTTATTTTAACCCCTGAACTTCATATAAAATTTTAATTATATACTTTTTTGTAAATCTATAATAATTTAAGGATAAATTTGTAATTTAACCTTCGTAAAATTTTTATTATTCAATGACAGAAGAAGGATGTTTTTGAAAAAAAATAAAAATTTAAGGACATTTTAGTCCAAAACACCTGTAATCTAATAATACCTAAGGAAAGGGAGGTAATGACATTCCCGATAATATACTCAAAAAATCCACTATTGGTAATCTAACATTACCGGGAATGAGATTCCCAGGCTAACCAAACGTGGGAATATGGATTCCATTCCCATAGGAATCCAACATTCCCCCATCCAACCACCCCCTAAGGATATCAAAATTCACATATAGAATTAATAGAGTAACAAATGTCTTTCAAAATATAATAAAAAATCTAATTAATAAGACACGTTACAACTTTTAATTTGTTAGTGCATAAAAAAATAATAATTATTTTTTGTATACTGGTTAGGACTGTTAATTAGTCCGACTCAATAACAAATTATTTTTTAATATTTTTAAGACGTTGATTGCCTTACTTTAAGATTGGTTACGTGTTGTTAAGATTTTTTTTAATTATTATAATTTTTTAATATAGTGTATTAGTAAATTATTACTTTAGTTGTAATATGTTAGTTTTGTGTATTTGTTGATTGTTGTTTTGATTGTAATATGTTAGTTTAGTGCATTCGTAGATTATTACTTTGGTTGTAACATGTTAGTTTGATATATTTGTGAATTGTTACCATGGATGAAGCTATGATTAAATATTGATAAGGACTGAAATATTGGATTTTTTTAAAAAATAGAACCATTTATTAGATATTTATACTCAAAATTCAAATGACAATGATTAATTTATCTAATATTTAAACTTACAATGACCTAGATTGTTATTAAATCAAAAAATTTGAGAACATTGTATTCTTCTTCTTTAGTTCAACCCCTACTTAATTAAATATTTAATAAACTCTTCTATTTTTTAATTTGAATATTTAATTTTATAACAATCAAAATAATATTAAACCAAAATTTATCGAATATATAAACTTTTTATAGGGGTCGGGGTCCGTATGGACCCTAATAGAGCTTTGTCTTTGATTGTTACGTTGGTTATAATATGTTAATTTAATGTACTTTGGACTATTATTTAGAATTTAAATTTTAGAATTGTTTCATATACTATTTTGATTAAGTTTATTAAAATTTATGAATTTATGTTTTTATTAATTTCTATATAATATTATTAGAATTTATATATATATTAAAAAATATAATAAGTATAATATATAACTAATTGAATTGAACAACAATTTTTTTAAAGAGCACGTAAAATAAAATCTTACCGAGATCATAAAAAAATTACTTTTGTTGAATGGAGAAAAATCTATTGCTTGTGCGAAATATTTATCCTAATTCCAAAAGGTTCAATAGCTATTTTTGGTCTCTCCATTACGATTAAATTCACTTTCTCAAATAAATCTTCTTTGTGATCGAGTTAGTATATTTAACTGGGTGATCAAATTGCTTATTTTTGTTCTTTTTATTTTTATAGATTTATCAAAAACACTTTTCTTCATTCTCCTGAAGTCTCCCTTTCCTTCCTTCTATATAAGACTAAAATTAAATTTAGAATTTATAAAAAAAAAAGGTATTTTTGATCTATTAAAAAATTTTTACTCCAACTAATTAATAGTTGTCACGCAATAGTAAGTATATTATTTTTTTCCAATTAAGTACGTATTTTATTAAATAAAATTAATAATTTTATATTATTTAAAGTTAGAGTCGGGTTTTATTCAAAAATTGAATCAGGTTACGATTAAGATAAAATTATCTTAAACTCGAATCAAATCAGATTTTGAGTAGAATATAAAATTTTCAAGTCAAAAACCTGAGCCAACCAACCCATGGCATTCCTAAATCCACCCAATTAATATGTATAATATTAAGCGTAAAGATGATCAAACTTGTCTTTTTCAGAATGATTCCAAGAATTTTATATAGAGCTTTATTATGTGGTGCCGTTCTGTATAATGAAAACGACAATTATCCGTATCTCATTCTTTGGTGCCATTTCTTTCCCATTATCTTTTAACAAAAAAAAAATCCATTGATTTTTACAAGTAAATGCAATTGCTTTTAATCTTCATAAACGTCGTTTAAGCATCTATGTTATTGAATTTCACCCTAGATTCAGTGGTGAAGAGAAAATTTTGATATATGGGATGGGAGGATATTAAGCTGACATTTCTACAGTTGAGTTCTTGAAGCATTACTTTACAAAATTTTAAACTCCATTCGCTTTCATCAAAATATTTTTTTCTTCCTCATGTAAATAAATTCTTTGAAATGGAAACAGTTATGAAGCAAAAAGTTTTCTTACTTTGCCAATAATTCTTCTGCACACCTTATTTTCCTCGTCATAAATCCTGCAAAATAAAAACATAATTAGATTTCTGAAGCTATCGTTTACTACCGAGAAAGAGGGTAAAAAATCACTTTGTTTTAACAATTACCTTTGAGCACAATCATAGCAGGTAGCACAATGACTGCTGCAACTTCCTGTTTCTACATCATCTTCACATGTTTCACACGTTATAGGTATCACCTTCTCGGGTCGTAAAGGCTCAGTGTCGGACTCCGTTGCTGCCCTCGCATCCTCCCGCTCACCGCTCTCGTCACCCAACTCCGTCAAGTACTTAAGAATCAAAAAAATTACCACCACCATCACGGCTGCAATAAGCCATTCAAGAATTTCGGTTTACATTTTAGTCCATGAAAAAGTAGAGATTTTTCAATCCTTACTAAATACTCGCCTAGAATTGCAACGTAAGTCACTAAACGTGCAAAGAAACCAAGGGCGTAACACCATTCAACTTGATCATCCTGTATCAGATCATACATTGTTTTAGTTGTGAGTTGAAGATTGAATAACCGATGCAAAACCAGCAACCGGAAATCACCTCGCTTGATAAAGTCATGGATCGAGGGTCGTCATGGTGGAGTTTTGGTATATTCATTGCATTTAGAAGAGAGCACGTGTTTATGGATTTTTTTTCTTCCTGTTACCTACTCGTCCTTCTTCCTACTAGTATATGCAGAAATATGCATGCTGCTGATTTGCACAATGATGAATCATTAAGGGAAAAAAAAGCGACAGATACAAAATCAAGTGCTCGAAATGGTACAAAAAGCATTGGTTCATTTACAGAGAAGATGTACAACAAGGATTGTTGCTGTATTACCTCAAAAACACCATGAAACAGAGCTCAAGTGCAGATTCTTTGAGAAAGAAAAGCTGCACTTTCCATTAAACATGAGCTGATCACTTGAAATAAGTGGAAAAAGCGTCGTGTTTCAGCGTATCTCTTCGAAGGGGTTTGAGAATTATAAAGCTGGATATTGTATTAAAATCATGGAAGAAAAACAGGACAGACATATTCATAATTGATATTTAGACGGTGAAATTTAATGAAGAGAAAGATTGGTAGTTGTTCAAATCCAGCATGGTGCAGACAACTAACACAGACTAGCCATAACAGGTGACAGCACTGCCAAGCCTTCGTGCTTTGACTAGTAGGTTATATACCTCATAAACAACGTTAATTTTAGGCACATATATTGAACGTTAGATTGAACTTTGAGTGGTAATTAAATTAAATTAAATCCAGGTGTAGTTGATGAATTTGAAAAATTCTTTCTGATATCGTAGGAGTAAACTGGCCGGTAATAATTGGCAATAAAGGTAGTTTTTCCCCTGCCTATTGAAAGGCAATGGAATGGGAAGCTCGTATTTATTGTATCTAACAAAGTACGATAGATTTTAGTAATAAGACTATACAAAGCTCAACTGTTATGATTGTGACTTGATTAGAGACATGGCTATACTAATAAATCCATTGAAAAGACAATGGAGTTTTCTTTAAATTATTTTGGTACAGAAGTGTCATAATTTGGACACATATACCATACACGTATCATAAACGAATCAGTATCATAATTGGATCCACAGTTGAAACCAATTCAATTACAAGATGACAAAAAATATATATATCATTGATCATTTCAGTGGTTACTTATAGCTCACAAAGCAGAGATCCGTCGTTCACAATTACAAATAACCAACTACCAAATTCAGCTAGGAACGCCTAATCCACGAAATACAAGACCTACGCTATTGTTACAGTTTCCCCCCTTTTTCACTACAATCCATTAAATAGAGAGGGAAGTTTCTAGGTATGTTACATTCTAAAGTCTAAGATGCATAGCGTATTGTTTGCGAAACAAGCAGCAATCTTGCCACCTTCCTTGTTCCAACAGACTTCAAATATTTCGCCATTGCCGGTATATGTGTTCACAATCTTCCCTTCCTTCAAGGACCAGATGTGCATGGACTTATCAAGAGATCCACTGGCTAGATACTCTCCATTTGGGCTAAATGCAACCGAGTATACAGGGTCCCTTGAGTGTTAAATCAATAAACTCGGTTAAAAAAAAAGGTGCAATGCATTTACTGTTGCATTCTTCATTTTTGCCTAAATCATGCTTGACTAATTGCTCATTTCAGCATCAACAAGGTTAGTTATGATCTTATGATGTATATAATTATAAAAGTATTTGAGTTCTGCCATCGTGTAAATACAAGAAACGAATAAATAACATATTTGAGGGATGATACCTGTGTCCATTCAAGCTGTAGAGAAGTTTCCCTAGTTCCACATCCCACAGCTTTACAGTAGAGTCAAATGACGCACTACATAAAAATAAACAAAAAGATGAAGAGAATGTTAACTTAAACCGGGACACATAGCAGTTAAGGCAATGCAGTCTACACATGTAAGAATTTCCTTTATAATTAAAGGGGTGTTCATCTCCAAACTAAAAAGGGGTTTAATTTCACAGCACATAGCATAATAGTGAACATAGAATGTATCAGGCACGTCTAATCCTTAAAACACTGCATCCTAAATTGGGATCGACAGCCAGTACAGGCTTAGAAACAATGCCTGTGTGACTGTGTCACAACCCACTCTTGCATCACATGAAATATCAATTAAAATTTTAAAAAATTTCATCATAAAATATGTACTGGAAAGAGAGAAAAAGAATAGAAGTATAATGGAGATAAAACATTGAGAGGAAGAGACAAATAAATAACTACACATCTTTATCAATAAGTTCAATCAAGTCCAAATTTGAAAAGATTATATGTAAAGGATAGTACTTTGCTATTTGAGACAACTAAGTCATACGGGTCAATCAACTGGCTTCAAATGTTAGACCTAATAAGAAGCATAACTTAGTTTTACCTTGCAAGAACTAGCTGCTGGTTAGGATTGTTTGTCCCTGGCCCAGTAGGACTCCATCTGATGGCATATATCTCCTGCAGAACAATTATTCAAAATTTCCACTAAAATTACAAATAAATGCACCCATACATGCACAGACAAATTATATAAAAGAAAATTCGAAGCCCAAAAGTACCTTTGAATGCTCCCTCAGATCATGAACATACTTGTCCTGCTTCATGCACCATATCTGCATAAACACTTTTTATTAGTTGAAACTTGAAACATATAAGATGAACAAAAACCAATATACATAAAGCTATAATAATCAAAAAAGGTAGCATGCTATTTTAAAATTATATAAATGTATATGTATATATTTTTCCAAAAGGGAAGTGAATCAGACGAGGTACAACAAAACCAAAATTTATATTGTCATGAAGGATGTCTGCTAAGTAACGAAGAAAAGATAGCATCTATAACCTTTGCAGTAATATCATCAGAACAAGAGGCCAACAGTGAACCTGTAGGATCCCATTTGATACAATTTACTTCACCCTGAAAAGCAAAAAGTTTGATATATGAAAAGAAGATTAGAGATCAAATTTTATTCAAAAGTTTTACTTATCAAAAATCCAAAATAAAACATTGTTTTTGGTTACAAATTAAAGTCCATTGCTGGGAAGTTATTGAAGCCATAAGGCTAGTTCATTGTTGTAAAAGTTCCCTAGCAAATTGTTTCGCAGAAAAACAAGACATTAGTAAATGAAATATTTAGCTCTTGAAACTCTCCTATGAAGGAGAAAAAGATTTTAGAATTTAGAGAGACACAACCAAGATGTATAAACATTCATTTCACACAAACAAAAGCTATAAGATGAATTAAGGATTGCCATAATCATTTCAAGCATGCAAGAGGGAAGACGGGGTTTGGAATTTCCATCTCAGACTGAACCTTGATCTCGCACCTAAGTGTCATTAAGTCTTCTTTATCAGATGCAGGTAACAAAAATTTTATCTAGAAATAGAAGGAAAAGAAAAAAAATGTGATTTGGGAAAGAGAGAGGAATTTATGGGGAACATTACAAGCAGTTAGAGACACATTATATACAACCTACAAGTTGCATCAAGATTAGTATTGGTTAAAATCTAGAAGAATCAGGGTTAGGCCTTTCTTGGTCAGTTTGAATCTTGTTTGGATCTAACAGTTAGCTCACTCTTTTGATCAAAACTAACAAACCAACCAAGAAAGTTGTGAGATTGTTAAACCATTAAAACCAGAAACAAACCTGATGACCCGCAAAGGTTTTAATAGGGCGTGTTTCTTCAATCTTGCAAACACATATCATATTGTCAGTGGAGCTTGTTGCAAATGAAACATTGTTCCGCCAATCAACATCAAGGGTTGGACCTAAAAGGTAAAAATGATGAAACTTAGGGAAATGAATATGGGTTATGCAACCAAAAGCCAAAGATTAAAGTTTAGTCCAATGGTCCATCTGTGTGAAATTCAAAGGGCTGTTTCCATTCCTCTGCTTTGACATCGCACACAATTGCCGTTTTATCACAGCTTCCCGTAAGAAGATAATCACCCTTCTTGTTCCATTTCAGAGAAAATATAGGTCCTTTGTGTTTACTCAACGTAGTTCTTAGTTCACCTAAACCAAGAAAGAATTGGGTGACAGAGAGAGAAAAGGTGTCAAGGAAGATGAAGTGTAGAATTCTCACAATCAGTCCAAAATAGCAATGTAATTATAAATGGTTAAATATATAACAAGTTCAGTTAAAAATACAAATAAACCTCTTATTTTGGTCAGGTAACAAGCTATTGATTTAATAAAAGAGAATGTAATGAGCACCAAAAAATACATGGAAAAACCGAGTTGGAATATCTGAACAGTCTCAAAGGTTGGTCTAACAAAATAGATTTGTGGCCTTTAATTTCAAGATATAGAATGGCACAAATAAAGTAACCCGACTAACCATTTGTAGTCCAAATCCTTGCTTGGCCATCATATGAACCTGTTGCAAGCAACGTCCCCTCACCCTGAATACAAGTAGGAAAAAGGAATCATACTCATTCTATATTGAAAAAAATGGCAATCAGATAAGCAAGTACCTAAAGTGCAATTTGTGGTTTTATTAATGTTTATAGTCCTTCAGTGGAAGAAGAGAAAGCAGGCTTTTTTGACGAACTTTGCTTGTTTCTAAATGGTTTCACTACTCCTTTTTTGTGTGGGAGGGGATTTTAATGCCTATATATCAGAAGAAGAGAAGGAAGGTAAAGCTCAAAATAGAAATTCTATGGAGATCTTTAGGCATTTTATTCAACAAACTGGCCTAATTGATTTACCTTTAATTGGGGGAAGATTTACTTGGGGAAATAACCGGGAAGAACCTACTGTTGTCAGATTGGACATGTTTTTGCTGAACATTAATTTTTCTTCTTCTTTTTCGGATATCACCCGACATTTACTTCCAAAGTCTATTTCTGATCATAATGCAATTTTACTTGAGAGTGGGGGAGCTAATTGGGGCAAGAAACCTTTCAGGTTGTTCAATTGTTTAATGAATGAGTATGGGTTTGATGAGCAGGTTGTAGAGGCTATTAAAGAATGCAAGAAAGTTCAGAGAAGATCGGTTATTCTGAGTATCATCAGAAGCTCCAAATCAGCTATAAAAAAATGGTCTGGTAGGAGAGATCAGTTTCCAGGTGCTGTTATTTCAGATTTAGAACAGAAGATTCATCTTTTAGAAAGTGATTTACAGAAACAGCAGGCTGTGAGGGGCACTGGCGTTGTAGCAGATTTGTGGTCCTTGAAAAATGAATTGTGGAGGTTATACGGGATTGAGGAACAAGTTTGGTGTCAAAAATCAAGAGTGAAATGGATCAAAGACGGAGATCGAAATACAAAATTTTTTCATACTTGTGCCACTATAAGGAGGAGGTTGAATTATTTAAATGCTCTTAAGGTCAAAGATGAAATATTGTATGATCCGCTTCTCATCAAGGCAAGGGTCCGAGATCATTTTTTTGAAACTTATAATGTTTGGTCAACTTTGGAAGTGGATGATATCAAGCTGAATTTTTCAAGAATATCCTTGGAATAGAGCCTTAGCTTAGAAAAGATGTTTACAGAAGAAGAAGTTTGGGAGGCTCTAAACTCATGTGATAGTAACAAAGCTCCAGGCCCTCATAGGTTGAACATGGGGTTTTTTAAAAGGTTTTGGCCCTCTTTGAAAGATGATATTCTAAAATTTTTTCATAACTTTTATTTGGGAAAAGATTGAGAGCATGGTATTAATCATACATTCATCACTCTTATCCCAAAGGGTTCTAACAGTGGTGGATTAGATGATTTTAGACCAATCAGTTTAGTAGGAGGGATGTATAAGATCCTTTCGAAGTGTCTTTCGAGAAGACTGAGAAGTTGTATGAATGATGTAATTAGTGCTTCGCAATTTGCTTTTATTCCTGGTCGACAAACTATGGATTGCTCTTTTATTGACTTTTGGAGGAAGAAAGGATTAAAGGTTGTGTGTTTAAGGTTGATTTCAAGAAGGCTTATGATACTGTGGATTGAGATATTCTCTTTAAAGTTATGATCAAAATGGGTTTTGGAACTAAATGGTGCAGATGGATTAGAAAATGTGTTACTTCAGCCTCGGTGTCAGTTTTGGTTAATGGTGTGCCAACAATTTACGAATGATTTAATTATTTTTTGTGGAGCTTCAATTACTCAGATTAAGAATGTTAGAAGAGTGTTGAGGATTTTTAGCCTAATGACGGGGCTTTATCTCAATTTAGCTAAAAGTAAACTTTATGGTATTAATGTGGAGAACGACATCCTTGAAGATTGGGAGAGAAATATTGGTTGTTCTATTGGTTCATTTCCTACGGTATATTTAGGCCTTCCATTAGAGGCAAAAAAGAATTCGGAGAAGTTGTGGGAGGTCATCAATAATTTTAATAGAAAATTGGCGGGGTGGAAAGCTTCATCTTTATCCATGGCTGGTAGATTGGTGCTTATAAAGTCGGTTCTTTCATCCTTACCTATCTTCTACCTATCTATTTTCAAGATGCCTTATATTATTTGTCAATGGTTAAATTCTTTGATGTTGAATTTTTTATGGGGAGGAGTTGAGAAGAAGAGAATGAATTGGGTTAGTTAGAAAAAGATATGTAAGCCGTTGACTGGTGGAGGCTTGGGAGTTGCTGATTTGAATCTTACCAATAGGGCGTTGTTGGGGAAGTGGGTTTGGAAGTTTGGAAATGAAAAAGAGACGATATGGAAGAAATTATTTTGCAACAAACACAATGTGAGTTGTCATTCCTTAGATATCACTAAGGTTCTCTCTCAAAAAGACTCTTGGATTTGGAGGGGAACTGTCAATAACTTTACAAAGAATGATTTCATTGGAGGTTGCCTTAGATCTCACGCAAAAATACAAATAGGGAATGGAAAATCTCTCTCTTTTTGGAATGATACTTGGCTTGGGGATTTCCCATTGAAAGTCCTTTTCCCTAGGATTTTTGCCCTTTCTTCTAATAAAGAGGGCAATGTGGTTGATTTTGGAAGCTTTGATTTGAATGGATGGGAGTGGAATATTAAGACTAGTAGGAATTTATGTGATTGGGAAGTGCTGCAGTTGGTTGAGTTATTGGACAGACTTAAAGAAATTAAACTAACTGAGTCATTGGAGGACTGTTTGCTGTGGGGTGGAATGGGGGAGGAGTTGTTTTTCTGTTAAAGTTTGCAGGAAAGCTCTTTCGTCTATTTCTGAGGATACATTTCAGTGGAACAAATGTGTATGGCTGGGTTTAGTTCCACCTAGAGTGGAGACTTTCCTTTGACAGCTATCTCATCAACAAATTGTTGTTAGAGTGGAATTGATGAAAATGGTGGTTCCTATAGGGGAGAATATCAACTTGCCCCTATTAAGGTGGATTTTTTAATGAGAAAATAACTTCAGTGACCGAAAATGTCTTATAATATACAATTTTAACTAACTTTTTTTGAATTTGGGAAAATAACCAATAAATTCGCAACGCGATCTTAAATTCGCAACACGAACTCCAATTTTGCAACTCAGTTTTGAAATTCGCAACACAAAAGTCAAATTCACAAAGCGCGTTTACTTTCGCAACGCGAATTTTATTTTTGAATTCGAAACCCGAATATTAATTTTGTAACACAAATGTAAACAGTATATCCCATAAATCACAACTCATAACCTAAAACCCTAAATCACAACTCAATCTCATCTCCATCTCTCACTCTCTCCGACGACATCCGTCCCCCATCTCCGGCGACATCCTTCCCCATATCCGGCGACCCCCCTCCATCTCCATCTCTCAGAGCCACCCTCTCACAACCATTCACGGCACAAATGAAAAATCAACCACCGAGAGTTAGTTTTTTAATTATTTTTGTTTTAAAATTTTTATATTATTATTAGATTTTTCATATTTAAATTGATGATAAATTTACTCGTAATTTCAATATATAGATTAATCATTTCACTTAGATTACTTAATAAATTCATTCGGTTGTTGTCAATAATGCTAAACTGTTTAATCTTTAACCCTGTGAAGTTAGTATTTGTCTTTTGGTTGAAGTAATGCAATTCATTCAAATTTCAATTTGCAGAAGAATAGTAGTTTTTGAAATTTAAATTCGCAACACGAAAATGAAATTCACAATGCGATTTTAGTTTTCGCGTTGTGAATTTCGTGTAGCGAATTTCATTTTCAAGTTACGATTTTCATGTTACGAATTTAAGTTTCAAGAATAAATTACCCTTCTTCTTCAAATTGAAACTTGAATGAATTGCATTACTTCAACCAAAAAACAAAGACAAATACTAACTTCACAGTGTTGTGAATTTAAGTTTCAAGAATAAACAACTACTCTTCTAGAATGTTGTCCTTGAACCTGCACTAAACCTATATGTTGTCCTTTTAACATTGTTTATACTTACTTCTGGAATGTTATCTGATGCATTTTGTGAACTATGATATAATGACTTGGGTGAATACCGGGCTAGTTTGAAACATATTTGGCTATATTTTCGCTGTTTAATATCATGTCTGTTTATTGTGTAGTTTTTGGTATATTATTAGTATACCTAACTTGGTATGTTTCTTGTTTTTGTTAAGAATTTTTTCGGCTGCATTGACTTTAAGGAATAAATTAAGCCTAGTTACTTCTAGAAATTTGTTGGAATACTTGTTTTAGATGAAATATTTATCAAAAATAGTTTGAAAATGTTTGGTTAAGTACCTAGAATTCAATAATTTCATCTCATATTTGTTGGTTTTAGATGTGTAAAAAATCTCATGGCCATAACGTTTCTGCAGGTTAATCATTCCAGATGTTATAACATAATGCAGATTGGAATTAAACAACAAATCAATTAAAGAAAAAAAAATTTACACTTTACAGCACATTGATACATCAGTTTTCCCCAGACAGTACATCCAAATGCTTCTAACAATAGGGAGCTTACAGACATTAGTCAGAAATTATAACATCTGGAAGGATTAACCTGCAGAAACGTTATGGCCATAAGATTTTCTATACATCCAAAACCAACAAATATGAGCTGAAATTATTGAATTCTAGGTACTTAACCAAACATTTTCAAACTATTTTTGATAAATATTTCATCTAAAATAAAGAATAACAAGTTAACAACCATTACTCAAACTTACCAATAACAAATGATTGTTTATGCACACTTTCAGCATCGGGATGTAGGTAGGCAACGTCTCGCATATATCTCTCTAGCCATATAATGTCGAAACCACAACCCTACTGCACCTCTATCTCTATCTGTCGGAGGTAGAAACTATTTACCTCCTCTCGTCATACGTTCCAAGCACATGCATACAAGAGGACAACAATCCCTTCTGACTCTCTACGTTTGTTGTAGCGCTGTCTCGTCTCTCATCATTGTAACTTTTAACTTATTTGGTTTCTTGTTTCCTGAATTAGTCCAATAAGCAATCACATCCAAGTATTTAGCTAAAAGATCGCCCTATCTCCTACAAATAATATCTTTCAAATCAGACAATGGTATGTAATTCAACATGCTGTCAATGCAGACAAGTATTCTCAAACAAATTTCTTTGGACATGTGTAAGTGTCGACGCAATTGTAGTAACTAGGCTTAATTTATTCCTTAAAGTCAATGTAGGCAAAAAAATTCCTAACAAAAACAAATTTCATTTTCATGTTGCGAATTTAAGTTTAAAAAACTACTCTTCTTCTGAAAATTGAAAAATACTAACTTCACAGAGTTAAAGACTAAACAGTTTAACAGTATTTGCAGCAACCGAATGAATTTACTAAGCAATCTAAGTGAAATGATTAATCTATATATTGAAATTACGAGTAAATTCATTGTGTGTTCTTTGTGCAGGAAGTGTAATGAGTCGGTCTCACATTTGTTTCTGCACTGTGATGTGGTGTGGGACCTTTGGGTTAAGTTCTTAAAGTCCTGGAATGTTTGCTTTGTGGTTCCGGCTAAGTTGATGGAATTCTTAATTGCGTGGGATGAGTTAGTTCCAAGATCTTTCATATGGAAGTTTATCCCTAGGGCTGTGTTGTGGTCGGTTTGGAAATGTAGGAATGAGGTGATTTTCCAGCAAGGGAATGTTGATTCTGCGTTGTTGTTCTTCATTACAAGGTTCAGAATTGTTTCGTGGTTTGGAACTTCATTTAAGGATGTCCATATTCCTTTCGATTCCTTGATAGGAGACTTAAAATTAGCAGACTGTAATGGTAATTTTAATAAGAGGACTCCTCCTCCTTCTAGTTGGAGTTCTCCTCCGGAAGGTTTTTTAAAAGTAAATGTTGATGGTGCAATGGTCAAAGGTTGGGATAAGGGGGGAATTGGTGGATTGATTAGGGATGGGAGTGGTTCGGTGCTTGGGTCGTTTTCAGAGAAGGTAGGGGGAGGTCCTCCTTTACTTGCAGAGCTTTTGACGATCAAAAGAGGGTTGATTCTTACTGAGGAAGTTGGTTACAGTCCAAGCCAGAGGATTATTTTGGAATCAGATTCGACTAATGCTCTAAAGTGGATTAAAAATCCGGACCTTAGTACTCTTTTGTTTAAATCCTTGGTGACGGATATAGCTACTCGTGTGGAAATGAAGGGTATTATTACAAGGCATATTCCGAGAGCTGCAAATTGGGAAGCGGATGAATTAGCAAAAGCTGGTATAGGTTGATTTTTGGGTTTAGAGGTGTTATATCTTGACTGTTTTTTAAGGGAGTTACTAGGGTGCGTTATGTATCCACAGTTGTGGCTTAAAGGTTATGTTGTTAGTAGTTAGTCATGTAGGTGTGGAGGTGTATTATGGTTCTCATTAATAAAAGCTAGAGGCACTCTTTTCCTTCTTCCTATGCCCTTCATGTTATGTTTATTATAACATGTAGGGTATGAAGAGGGTTTTTAATGAGGCTTTTTTTATCAAAAAAAATTACGAGTAAATTTATTATCAATTTAAATATGAAAAATCTAATAAGAGTGTGTGATGTCTTATGTTGTTTGCAAAAGTGTATTTAAGTCTTATATAATTTGGCTATCATTAATAAATTGAGGTACTCTTTTCCTCCTTCCGCTAGTTGGTTCTTACCTTAGGACAAAGAACCACTAAGAGGGAGGTTTTTAATGAGACCTTCTATTCCTATAAAAAAAAAGTGTATCCTAATTCCTAAAAAAAGTTACCTACAACTATTCTTGTTGCTTCTTTTTGATAGCTCTAGCAATTCTTTTATTACATTAAATCTTATTAGTTCTCTTGCATAGTGTCAGCTCTATACCAAAGCATGTCAAATAAAGTGGCAATCCATAACATCAAATAAAGTGAATGAGATAAAGTGTTGGATCTGTTCTGTACTAAAAGGAACAAAAAATTAGTCAACAACATAAGCCTCCAACATACTCACATTCCAATCAAGCGTTGTCACATCTTTGCTTTTCTCATTTGTTCTTCCTTTTACATGCTTCAGAACTAGAACATTTAAAGGACTGTTTTGTGTACCAGATCTGAAAAGGCCATCAGATATTGTCCAAATACAAGTTGTAGAATCTCCAGATCTAGAAAATCATACAATGAAAGTTCAGTGAAGGTGATATAAACAAAGAAACTTTGTGAATGCACAAACTGATTAAAGACACTCCATTATTCAGCAACAGATATTAAAACCCATGCTAGACACTTAATAATTGCTCAGATGACATGTAGAAACAACAAGAGACATAGTCATATATAGTGAAACTCTTGGCATAGAGCAGCATGATCTCAGTTTGATTTTCTGAAAGACCTCAATCAGTATCAATAACAATGTAAATAGGTATCTCTGCAGAACATGAAGAACTTCAACTGTCCAACCCTAGAACACATTATAAACGACAATACACTTGACTACAGGTCCTATAGTCACATAACTGGAGAGTGCACATATTGCATTTCCGTTTACAAACCACTTATCCAATGATAAGGACTATTAAAATGGTTTTGCTACCAACAAGGCTTAAGTTGTATCATTTTAGAACTTCTAAACTTGCTCATTGATCTAACACAAGGTACATCTCATGTAGCAACAAAGATCAACAACTTTAAACAGGAAAATGAGAGAGGAAAATGACTGGAAACACATAGAGAAGTAAAGAAAATACATATGTAAAAGACCAAAATATCGATATAAGAAAAGTTTTATTATAGTAAAATACTCACCCTGATGCAAGAAGTGAACCGGTTGGGCTCTATGCACACGCACAAACCTGCAGTAATAAATGCTCATAGAGAGAAGAGAGTGGGAATAAATGTGCATATGTGCAAGTCCATCTTGGTATGAAAAAAGTTTAAAAAGGCTCAAACCTCATAAGTATGCCCTTCCAAAATGGTAACCTCGGAGCTAGGAATTTCACGAGCATCATGAGATGTTGGGGTTGGCATAGTAGCAATATAGGTTCTGGTCCTACATAATGAGAAGCAATAGTGAATGGACATGAAAATGAATGATCCGGCAGACTGGTTAAGAGAGCTATCTTGCATATATATATATATAATTTCAGGTGAATCATCAATATTCATTTACACGAAAGGTCAAAGCTTATAGAAATATAATGGTATCAAACAAGGAATAAATATAACAAAGGAGTTAACTAACCTACAAATGTTCCATTTTCTTCATGCCTAACGACATCCTTGTCTTTTTGATCCAAAACCATCTCTCTATAAGCAAGTTCTTCAAGTTGTTTTTCTCTCTCCTTATTTCTTTCAGCCCTCTTCCTTTCCTTTTCACGTTCCTTCTCCTTTTCGTGTCTTTCTTTCTCTCGCACTCGTCCACGCTCTCTTTCATGCTCCCTCTCAACCTCTTTATCTTTATCTTTGTCCCTAGCTTTGTTTATATCCTTTTGGATATTCTTCCTTTTCTCTTTTATCATTTGCCACAATTAATTTACATCCTTTGTTATTATATCCAAAGGTTTCAAGAATGAGAAATCTTCATCCATTTCTGCAACAGGTTTTAGTTTCGCAGCTCGTTTGTTTAGTAAATTAATTTACAATAATGAAATCATCTAATATTGATCATGTTTGGATAGATTTGTGTTTTGGAAGGTCATGGGAGAATGTTCATGGTGTTTTACAATATATGCCTTTACCCATGAATCTTCAACTAAAACTGTCATTAAAAAAGTTAACTTATGAAACTCTAATGTTATGTGTTGCAAATAAATTGAATTTAGAGCCCCTAAGTGGATTTAGGCTATTTTATCAGAGAAATGGTAAAGTTTATTTGTTAACCGACAATGAAGATGTTGAACGATTCATTACATTAGTGTTTCAAGTGATGATGTTACATTGTATGTTGTTGAACCTAGAAGTAGTGAAGTTGGGTCAGTAGCGGGTAGTAATCAACTAAGTTTTTCAACCCCAGTTTATGGTGCTCAAAATTTAATGGTTCCACCACAATTTCATCACCAAGCAAATATTGTTTCACCACATTTCCAATACCAAACACAATCTCAAAACCCACAACATTTCCCTAATCCAAATCCCAATCAACTTTCAGCACCAAATTCCGGTTTTCGTATTGACCAGTTAGACGATGATGAGCCAACAGAAAAAATTGTGAGTACTAGTCAATATTCAAAATTTGATCTTGGTCAATACCCGGACTTTGATCTTGGTCAATACTCGGATTTTGATGATTTTTCAGAAGAAGAAACAGACCCTGCGTGTAATGATTTTGATATTGGTCAATACCCGAATTTTGATGATGAAACAACCATTGTCGAGGAAGATATTGTTGATGATAATGAGGAGGAAGTTACGACTGTAAATGAACATGTTGAACATCAATTTTGTAATTCATATAACACTGAAGAAGAAAAAGAAGAAGAAGAAATCCCCAAAGAAAAGTCCCCGAAGAAAATGCCACGAGAGTATAACTGGAATATGCCAGAATTACTTCAGATACCAGAAGAAGAGTTGGTAAAGATAGCAGTTGATTGTTACACAAAAATTATTCGTATCAAGAAAGATGATTGTTTTGATACAAAGGAAGACTTGAAGATAGCTTTGTATACGAAATGTGTGGAAGATGGCTATCAACTAAAAGTTAACAAATCAAGCAAAACAAGGTGTATGATTGACAAAAACTGTATGTGGCGTATAATTGCAAAAAGGATAAAAGATTTCGAAATGTTTCAAGTTAGGACTTTTATTGATAAACATACATGTTCAAGAACCCAAGTTTTTCCTCACCATAGACAGGCAAACAAAAAGGTGTTGGGTGGTTTTCTAGCTGAGTTAATATTTTTGAATGACATGGTATATCGGGGACATGAAATTACGACTGACATGAATGCTCGGTTCAAGATTAGTATCTCATATTCTCAAGCTTGGAGAGCCAAATGTTATGCCTTGGAATTGTTGAGGGGGTCGCCAGAAGCATCGTTTGCCCAACTGCCGGCTTATTGTCACAATTTAAAGCTGAAAAATCATGGGTCGGTAACTCATATCAAAACAGATAGAGATGGAAGCTTTGAGTTGTTGTTTATCGCCATTGGTGCTGCGGTTAGTAAATCAATATAATTTTGTTGACTCATTTTTGTTAGTTACATGCATTTCACATTTAAATGATTATATTTCTTGTGTATATGATTTTGTAGATTCATTCGTTTATTAATTGCATGCGCCCAGTTATTATAGTTGACGGAGCACATTTAAAAGGTCGATACCTTAGAGTAAACTTATTAGCAGTAGCCATGGATGCTAACAATGTGATACTGCCAATAGCTTACGGGGTTGGCAAATCTGGAACCTTTGATTCATGGACATGGTTTATGGGGCATCTTAGGGATTACATAGGTCCTATTAGCAATCTGACAATCATATCCGATAAGGCAAACTCAATTGACAACGCTGTTAGAAGGTGTTTCCCAGATGCTTTTCATGGACTTTGTGGTGTTCATTTGTATAGAAATCTAAAATCAAGGTCTGTTGGTATAAAATATCACAAATGGACATACTGGAAGGCTGTAAAAGCTTATCGGGAAGTGGATTTTAATAAGCATATAAACTGTTTAAGACGTGTTTTGCCTCAGTGTGCTCAAACACTAGAAGATGTCGGGTTTGAAAGATGGTCAAGAGTACATCAACTTGGAGCAAGATATGGTTTCATGACGTCTAATAGTGCAGAATCAATCAACGCTCTAAGTCGTCATTCCCGAAAATTACCCATTACTATGTTAATGGAGTTTTTTTGAGCCTCTATTCAACAGTGGTACTATAAGAAAAGAAACCATGCAGGTATTATTTCTTTAAATTCGTAACTTATCATATATTTTACTAAGTATTATTTATTTAAATTTACAGGAACATTGGAACATCGTGTTACGCCATGGACAGAAAAAAAGATAACGAAACGTGTTGTGAAGTCAACGTCATGGAGAGTTGAACCATGTTCAAACACTTTGTTTGAAGTACTGGATAATAACTTAAATGGTCTTGTCGATCTAAATGCAAAGACGTGTTGTATGAAATGACAAACATCTGGTTATCCGTGTGGCCATGTTATAAAAGTTTCTCTTCATCTAAACCAAGATGATTCAAGCGCATATGCTATGGATTGCTACACTACAGAAGTATATCGACAGACTTATGGTGAGATTGTCTACCCTATTCCACATCCTTCTGAGTGGGATATTCCAGATGACTTACAAACAGTTTTGCCACCAGCCATGGACAGAAGGCTACCTGGGTGACAAAAAAGTCACGATCGTATACCGTCTAAGGGTGAAGAGAAGAATAGATCGACATGTAGTCGGTGCAAGGAAAGTGGTCATACAAGGTTGACATGTGGATCACCAGTGCCATTACAATCATCTTTTCCTCTACCAAAATATGGATCCTCATCAAAATCCCAATCACAACCGTCTTCAACTTTTGGGACTGTTAACTTAGGTGATTTTTAAATGCAAACGTTGTATTATGTGTATATTATGTGTGAACTTTTAATATTTTCAGTTAGGCATGTATTAGTAACTTGAGTTTGAACATTGCTATGATATGTTCAGTTGTTATCACTTATTAGACATTCATTTGACTATCGCAACGCAGAAATCGCAACGCGAATATGACTATCGCAACACGGAAATGACTATCGCAATGCGGAATTGACTATCGCAACGCGGAAATGACTATCGCAACAAGAGAATCGCAATGCAAAATGAAAATCCCAATGCGAAATAAAAATCGCAACGAGAGAATCGCAATGCGAAATGAAAATCGCAACGAGAGAATCGCAATGCGAAATGAAAATCGCAACGAGTGAATCGCAATGCGAAAATGAAAATCGCAACGCGAAATCGTTGCGATAGTCATTTCCTCATTGCGATAGTCTGTTTCAACATAATGCAGATTGAAATCAACAAATCAACAATTACATTTCAATCAATTAAACAAGCACAAATATTATGTGCACATCAATTAAACAAATCAACATTTACAAATCATCTTTTACAAATCAATTAAACAATCAAAAAATAATAATGAAATCAACTTTTGCACCCATACATCCATTTCACGCAGCTCACTTCAAGATTAACCTGCAAAAACCAAACATTGAATCAACAACACTTTCTACACATCTAAAACCTACAAACAGCAAATTATTGAATTCTAGCTACTTAACCAAACATTTTCAAACCAAAAAGAGTAAATATGTTTAACAACACTTGCATTTGACTTACAAATTGTTTATGGACACTTTCATAATGCGGATGCAGGTAGGCAGCGCCTCGCATACTCTAGCCATAAAATGCCGAAACCACAAGCCTACTGCACCTCTATCTCTATCGGTGGGAGGTAGAAATTGTGTCATTCCTGTCGTCAAACGCTCCAAGCACATGCATACAAGAGGACCACAATCCCCTCTGGCTTCCTTCGTTTGTTGTGGCGCGGTCTCGTCTCTGATAACTGTAACATTGAACTTCTTTGGCTTCTTGTTTCCAGACTTATTCCAATAATCAATTGCATCCAAGAATTTAGCCAAATGAGAGCTCCATCCCTTAATCATATCTCTCAAATCAGATAATGATATGTAATTTATCATGCTGTCATATACTATTGTATTTAGGGATGGGAGCTGAAGCAGGACGAGAAGCCAATGAGTAAGGTCAAAAAATAGGGATAAACACCTGCATCGAAATGTAATAATTCAAATTGCGCACTTATTTATGAACACCCTAAAAATATTTAAACAAATATACTAACCTTATCGACCTCCCACCATGCAGGATAAAGTTTAGCTTGTCCATTAGCCAACACATATGATTCTTGTCGTTGATTCTTCAAGTGAACTACGTGAAAAGACGTCGGCATAATTGTATATCGCATTTTTTTAATATTTTTCTTCAATTTCCTTACAATTAGAAGACGTGTCACCCATGCATCAATATGCTGTTTTACAAAAAAAGACATATATTAGTGAATTACATAAATTTAAAAAAAATTTAATCAAACTGAAATATAAGAAATATAAGACTTACCCCCCCATCGAAATAGCCGTTGTCTTCAACCCCTAATAATACACCCCACCAAGACCGTTCAATCAACAAATGCATATCATCATTGAGTTTGTATATGTCAGCGTAACACCCTTGGATCCGCTCATGTAGATAAAAATCAACTGCGATCTTAGCCCAAAGGGTATTATCCAGAATTGTTTCCGGTAGTTGTTTCCTCTCCACTTCATCTGCCGGAATGGTACTGGCCGATAACTTATACGAAAGCCAACAGTCATCCATCATGTTCGGTACGTGAGGGGGCTTCTCAATAATTCGATATATTACGCTGTGTGAATCGGGCTCTAGAATGTTGGGATGGACCTCTTCAACGATGACAGTGGCCTCTTGAACGGTGGAAGGGGACTCTTGAG